CCCGCCACTCCAAGCACCTACAGACCCAGCGACTCCAAGCACCTACCGACCAAGCGACTCATGTGCCTATCGACCGAGCCACTCCAAGCACCTACCGACCGAGTCATTCCAAGCACCTACCGAATGGGCCACTCCAAGCACCTACATCCCGAGCCACTCCAAGCACCTACACACCGAGTCACTCCAAGCAACTGCCACCGACCCACTCCAGGCACCTACCGACCAATCCAATCCAAGCACCTACCGATCGAGCCACTTCAGGCACCTTCCCACCAAGCCACTCCAATCGCATTCTTTTTTTTGTCCTCATCTGTCTCTCTTTATCTGTGTCTCTCTATCTCTCTCTCTCTCCTCTCTCCCTCTCTCTCTCTCTCTTTCTCTCTCCCTTTCTCTGTCTCTCTATGTGTGTTGAATTGGTTAACAATGCTGAAATTTAGCAGTTGGTTTGGGCCTAACTTTTTTTTTTTTTTTTTTTTTCTTTTTTTCTTTTTTTGCGGGCATTGCCCGCACTGCCCGCATAGCGGGCGCTTAGCTAGTATATATATATATATAGGCTGCATCACAACTCCAGGCAGTGGAAAGCTCAAAGCCAGCAGCAGCAGCAGCCGCAAACAGGCATTTTTTGTGTTTGCACTTTACTGCGGTAGTCCCCCTGCAGCAGCAGCTGGCGGCTGCTGCTGCAGGGGGACTACCGCAGTAAAGTGGAAACACAAAAAATGCCTGTTTTTTTATTGCGCCTGGTGGCCTGGGTCCAGACTTTCCATTTGTACCACCTCCATTTTAGAAAGGCCTGTAGGCCCTGTACCGTCACTTTTAGGTTGAGCAAAATGCATTTTTCGGTTGGACGACTTAGCTTCGGTTACGTTCAAGCCTGGACAGACTCTGAGATGGAGGACACCGTCCCATCAAATGTTCATAAGGGGAGGAAACAATTGGAGTGCACCTAAGAACTAAGAACGTCTTTCCAGAAACAATGAGAGTGCAGTGTGCACCTAAGAACTAAGAATAAAGCTTTGGTTGTGTTCGTGGGATTGCCTGAAGCGCATTTTCAAACTGTTTCCGTGACTGCGCCGAAGTTACCCCCCCAAAAAAAAAACGGACCTAGCTCAATTGGCACACCCATGAGCTGTTGAAATACAGTACGGAGCTCGAATCCCCGCGGAAGTTAGCGGAACCAGATGGATGATGTAAGATAATTCTCAATAACCTGATACCTGCAGGCCGAAAAGCAAATACGAACAGAGTGTCCCTAGACAATAGGAAAAGATAGTGCTATCTTCTGCGAAAGCATGAATTGGCCAAAGAATATATATATATATATATATATATATATATATAT